TCTCTCTCTCCTCTCTATTTATCTCTGTTTTACTATATTTTACTGTATGACAATACTATATTATTGTTATTATTATTGTTATTATTATTATCATCATTTGTTTACTATATTTTACTTACTGTGTATTATTATTATTATATATTTTACTATATCACTATTATTATTATATATTGTACTATATCACTATACTATACTATTATTTTATATTTTACTATATTGTAATTTGTTTTACTATATTTTTCTATATTACTATATATTATTAATATTATTTGTCTTTCTGTATTTTGCTATACTATACTATATTATTATTATATTTACTATATATATCACTATATATTATTATTATTATTATTATTATATTACTTGTTTTACTATATTTTTCTATATTACTTGTTTTACTATATTTTACTATCACTATACCATATTAATATATTGTATTTTACTTCTCTCTCTCTCTTTCTCTTCTCTCTCTCCTTTCTTTCTCTCTTTCTCTGTTTTCTTTCTCTCTTTCTGTCTATATCTCTCTGTTTTACTATATGTTTACTATATTTTACTATATTACCATATAATATTATTATATATTTTGCTATATTTGTTTAACCATTTTATGATTTCACTATATTATTATCATATATTTTGATATAATAATATTTGTTTTACTCTATTTTACTATACCACTATATATGTTATTATTATTATTATTATTATATTTTACTATATTATTGTTTGTTTTATATTTTACTCTCTCACTGTATATTATTATTTTATATTTTTCTATATTATGTCTTCTACTATATTTTACTATATCACTATACTATGTCATTATTTTATTTTTTACTATATTTTTATTCCTCTATCACTATATATCATTATTATTATTATTATTATTATTATTATTATTATTATTATTATTATATATTTTACTATATCTTCCTCTATGACTATGCTATATTATTATTATTATTTGTTTTACTATATTTCATTATATCACTATATATTATTATTATTATACATTTTACATTATTATTATTTATTTTTCTATATCTTACTATATCACTCACACAAACACACACACACTATTATTGTATATATTAAATTTTATATATTTTACTATATTATTGTTTGTTTCACTATATTTTACTGTATTACTATATATTATTATTTTTATGCGTTTATTATTATTCATTGCCAGTGAGTTTGTTTTTGGTTGCGTTGGTTAGTTTGATTGCGGATAACTCAAAAAGGTACGAATAGATTTTTATTAAATTTTTCCGATAGGTGGGTCTTGGCCTAATGTAGATGCTGTTAAAGTTTGGTGGCGATGCGGATATTAATTATTCGTTTATTTCTTTGTTAGAAAGATTAGTCAGTCCGCATATTGTTTGTTTCTTTGCAGGATAACGCAAAAGGTAATGCACAGATTTTTATTAAATTTTACCTAGAGGTCGGTCATGGCCTGGCTTAGATGCCCTTCAATTTTGGTGGTGACGCGGATATTAGTTAATTTTTAGTTATCAGGATAACTCGAGAAGTTACGAAGAGATTTTTATTTATCGTTATTATAGTTATTCTGTTTAATTATTTATTTATTTATTTTTTTTTTTTTACCGAGGTGTGTCATAGTATAGCATAGATGTCTTTGAATTTTGATAATCAGATATAATTATATTTTGTTTGTTTCTTCGTTAGCAAGATAACTTAATCTTTCTCTTTCTCTCTTTTGTTTGTTTATTGGTTTATTAGCGTCATAACTCAAAAAGTTATGGACAGATTTTTACGAAATTTTTACCATAGGTGTGTCTGAGTCTAACTTAGATGCCACTGAAATTTGTTGGTGATTCGGATCCAAAGATTTTATGCTTGTCTGTTCATCGGTTTGTTAGCATTATAACTCAAAAAGTTATGGACAGATTTTTACGAATTTTTTACCATAGGTGTGTCTGAGTCTAACTTAGATGCCACTGAACTTTGATGGTGATACCGATCCAGATTTTTTTTCCGTTCATAGGTTTTTTAGTGTCATAACTCAAAAACCTATGAACGGAAAAAAAATCTGGATCGGTATCAC